CTTTCCCAGATCCCTCACCCCACAGCTCCTGGGCTGGAATGCAGGGGCCTTGCCCTATTTCCAATTCCCCTTTCCCAAGGGCTGTCCCACAGCTGAAAGTGCTTTTCCCCCATTCCCAATCCCCTTTTCCCAAATCCCTCACCCCACAGCTGCAGGTGCCTTTCCCCATTCCCAATTCCCCTTTTCCCAGATCCCTGACCCCACAGTTCCTGGGCTGGAATGCAGAGGCCTTTCCCCCATTCCCAATCCCCTTTTCCCAAATCCCTCACCCCACAGTTCCTGGGCTGTCCCACAGCTGCAGGGACCTTTCCCCCATTCCCAATCCCCTTTTCCCAAATCCCTAACTCCACAGCTGCAGGCCAGCAGGGGATGGCTGCAGCCAGCTGGAATTCCAGCCTGGAGCTAAATGTGGCTCCTGATCACAAAGGGAGGATGAACCACAGCCATCCTCACCCTGCCACGTCCCCCAGCTCCAGCCACGGGGCTCCAGGCTGGAAAAATCTCTTTTAGGATTTTTTGTCAGGGGGAAGCTGCTGCTTTGTTTCCCCTTTTCTGTTTTCCATGGGATCCTTGAATCATTTGGGTTGGGGACTTAAAGAATTTCTCCATCCACCCCAGCCATGGCAGGGACATTTCCCCTGTCCCAGGGGGCTCCAAGCCCTGTCCAGCCTGGCCTGGGACATTTCCAGGGATTGGGGCAGTCACAGCCTGCCCAGGCAGGGACACGTCCATGGGGACTCTGCTGCCATGGGAATGACGTGTCCCTGCAGATTCCTGCTCAGCAGCCACCAGGAGAGGGGTTTGGGGTCTATGGGATGTGTTTGGGGTCATGGCTGTGTTTGGGCTCTGGGGGATGAGTTTGGGCTCTGGGGGATGAGTTTGGGGTCATGGCTGTGTTTGGGGTCTGGGGGATGTGTTTGGGGAGTCCATGGGGTCAGGCTGAGCCTTTCCCAGCAGGCCCAGGGGAAATCCTGGAATGTTTTGGGCTGGAACCCCCCGAGCTCTGGTTCCAAACCCTTCCTGCAGTGACAGGGGACGAGACCCTGCCGGGCTGAGCTGGGGATCTTTGGGGTCCAGAGGGTTTCCCTGGGGGTGGAGGTGCCCTGAGCTCCCCCTGACCCTCAGCCCTGTGTCTGTGTCACCTGTGTCACCTGTTTCTGTGTCCCCTGTGTCTCTGTGTCCTGGTGTCTCTGTATCACCTCTGTCTCTGTGTCCTCTTTATCCTCTGTGTCACCTGTGTCCCTGTATCACCTGTGTCCCCTGTATCACCTGTATGTGTCACCTCTGTCACTGTGTCACCTGTGTCCTTGTATCACCTCTGTCACCTGTGTCTCTGTATCACCTGTATGTGTCACCTGTGTCCCCTGTATCACCTCTATCACCTCTGTCCCTGTATCACCTGTATTATCTGTGTTACCTGTCCCTTATCACCTGTGTCACCTGTATATGTCACCTCTGTCCCTGTATCACCTGTTCCTGTATCACCTGTGTCCCTGTGTCACCTGTCCCCGTGTTCCTGTATCACCTGTGTTCCTGTATCACCTGTGTCCCCGTGTCCCCTGTCCCCGTGTCCCTGGCCCTGCAGAAGCTGAAGCACACGGAGAGTGACAAGCTGCAGGTGCAGATCCAGGCTTACCTGGACAATGTGTTCGACGTGGGGGCTCTGCTGGAGGATGCTGAGACCAAGAACGCGGCCCTGGAGAGGGTGGAGGAGCTGGAGGAAAACCTTTCCCACGTGAGTCTGGCTGTGCAGTCTGCATTTGTCACCTGGGGGATCTGGATTTACCTGGTTTGGGGGGAAGGCTCACCTGGTAAAAGCTTTGGGATTGCTGGGCCTCTGAAGTGGGAAAATCCCAACCCCTGGTTGTGCTTCCAGGAGGATTCACCTGGCACAGGTGTGGGAGCTGATTTACCTGGAATATTCCAACTCCTCAGCAGAGCAGACCCGAAATTGGGGAAAACCCCCAAACCCTGCTTTAAACAGTGGCTCAGGAGGGAAGGGGCTGGAAAATCCTCTTGTGGAAATGCTCAGGGTTTGCTGTCCCCAAATTTGGTGTCACTTCCTTTAGGCTGGAAGATGTGGCCTGGCTTCTGGAAAAGAATGAAAAAAAATGGATTTTCCATACTTTTTTTCCCTTCTCTCACCATCCCTGTATTATCCCTTGGAATAAATAATGTTCTCAACTCTCTGTGCAGGGCTTGCCCAGCCCCTCTGAGGTGTTGTGGGAATCAGGGAATGGTTTGGGTTGGGAGGGACATGAAACCCATCCAGGTAACCCCTGCAGGGCAGGGACACCTTCCATTGTCCCAGTTCTCTCCAAGCCCATTCCACCTTGGTGTCTCCCATCTCAGGCAGCAATCTGTTCTCTTTCCAAGCCTTCAGGGTTTCCTGGAATATCAATAATTCATCAATTTATCCAAGAAGTGAAGTCTTTATTTTGATGGATAACCCCTCAGTTTTCCAGTTATTTAATCCATTTCTCTTTTGCTGGGCAGTTATCTGAAAAACTCCAGGATACAGAGAACGAGGCCATGGCCAAAATTGTGGAACTGGAAAAGCAACTGATGCAAAGGAACAAAGAACTGGACGTGATCAGGGTGAGTGGCATGGGGCAGCCCTGGGTGGATCCAGGGAGTGGAAATCATGGATCTGGGGCACGGGAATTCTCCTGGCTTCCCAATACTGAACCTGGGGCAGATTTCAGGTGGAATTGTTGGTGTGTGCACTCAGGGGATGGACAGGAATCCCTTTGGGGGTGCCAGGAATCTCTTGAGTGAGATGGACACGTCTCATTCCCAAGGTTTAGAACATTCCAGCTGGGAGTTTGGGACCTGTGGAGATCCCAAAGGGTGGGAGAATCCAGAATTTCCCTGGAGGGGCTGCCCTGGGCACGTGCAGTGCAATCCCCTCTCTGGATCAGGCTGTTCTCATCCCGCCCTTGGAATTGTGGATGCACATTCCCTGTTCCTGTGCCATTCCAGGAGATCTACAAGGATGCCAACAGCCAGGTTCACACGCTGAGGAAGATGGTGAAGGAGAAGGAGGAGGCCATCCAGCGCCAGTCCACGCTGGAGAAGAAGATCCACGAGCTGGAGAAGCAGGGAACCATCAAGATCCAGAAGAAAGGGGACGGGGACATCTCCATCCTGCCCGTGGCCCTGGGCTCTGGGATGGTGCCAGCAGGAGCAGAGGCCGTGCCGGGCACCTGTGCCACACCTGGAGCTGCCTCCTCAGTGCCACTGCCACCACCCCCACCGCCCCTGCCCGCCCTGCCAGGCTCACCTGAGCCAGGTGAGCAGGGAGGGAGATCCTTGTGTGGGCACTCCAAACCCCCCTGGCTTTCCCCTTCCCATGGGGAAATCCCTGCTGGAAATGCCCAGCCCGAGGCTGTTCCCTGTGGGAGCAGAGAGTGACCCCTGTAAAAACCAGGAAATTTCTGCTGCTCCTGCGTTCCCACCCCGTTGTTTGTGTACATAGATAAATGTAAATGTGAGGTAAGGAAAACAAAAAAACCCAAAAAAACCAACAGACCCCCGCTTGGCTGCCCCCTCCCTCCATTCCTTGGATGGAGGAGTTGCTCCTTTCTTTCCTGAGGGCGCTTCCAGGTGCTGAAAGCCTTTGGGTGGCTCAGGGTGGGGAGGGGACATCGAGGGGGATGTGGTGGCTCTTTCTTCGTGCCCTTTCATTCCTCCGTGCTAACTCCATTTTCCCTCCATCCCACAGTGCCCAACGGCCCCGTGGCGGTGTCTGTGCCACCTCCACCACCTCCACCTCCCCCTCCTCCTCCTCCTCCTCCTCCTCCTCCTCTCCCAGGTCCCGCTCTGGATGCGGCTCCGGCGCTGCCGCCTCCGCCCCCGCCCTCGGCTCCCCCCCTGCCCGGCACAGCCTCGCCCACCGTGGTCTTCAACTCTGGCCTGGCAGGTAAAAAAAACTCCCCCAAATAAACCCCAAAGTTCCTCAGTGCTGCTGGAATGAGGAGTTTGTGGGAGGAAGGAGAATTTTGGTGTCTCCGAGGTTGCCCGGAGAAGCCCCCGAGCATCCCTGGAAGTGCCCGAGACATCCTTGGAGAAAGCTGGGATGGGGGAGCTGGATAATCCCCAAACCTGGCTGAAATTTTGGGATTTATCAACTCAACAGTTTGGGCAGAGTTGGTTTCTCCAGTGGAGCAAAGCTCACACCACGAGTATTTTATAAACACCTCACTTCAGTTTGGACTTTGACAGAACATGGGTTTGGTTTCCTCTGAGAAGAAATACCTGGGAAAAATTAGGAATTTTTTGGTGGGAATTTTGGGAAGAAAAGGCAAAAACGGGATTTTTTTGGAAGGAAGGAAGGATAAGGTGCTGCCCATCCTTACCTGTGTTTTAGCCACTGCCTCCTGCCAGGTGTCTCAGGGGGTGAGCAAGGACTCGCTGGTGTCCCCAAAAATCTCCAGAGCTCCTTACCAGTCCAAAGGAGAGACTCTCATTAAGAGCTTAATTAAGGAGAAAAAAATCAATTAATTAAATATTAATATTTTATTTATTTATTTAAATTAATGACTCTATATTTAATTTATTATTTAAATATCAGTATTTAATTCCAACTAAATATTCCAACCTTTAAGAGTTCCTTGGAAGACAAAAAGCATCCTGCATCCAGAGGGTGATTTTTTAGGAAAATGCAGCCCCAGAGGGAGGGCTGATCCCTTGGGGTGAGGCCCTGGAGGTGCCTGGGAGCTGCTGGGCTGCAGATCCCGGTTTGGGTTTTTTTTGTTTTTTTGTTTTTTTTTTTTTTTTTTCCAGTGGGAATTCCAAAGGAATAGAACTGGAAATGTTTTTTCTGGATGCAGGGGCTCCCCAGGAAGGAACATTCCCAGGGCAGGAATGCTGTGGGGCCCAGGGGAGTTGGGAAATAACAAATGCTGCTTTTCTCACCTTTCCTAACCCTTTTTTTTTTTCTCTCTGTTCCTTCTGCTTCCTGCTAAGATGGGCCCATCAAGCTCTTCTGTAGGTTCCTTCCTGCTAAGTATTCCTTATCCTGGCATTCCCGGTGGCCTGGGGGCACCCAGGGGCTCCAGGGCAGGGGGAGGTGGGAGCCAACCCAGGGGATTTGGGCACCCAGAGCTCGGGAGGGGACGAGGAGGACGAGGAGGAGGAAGGGAAATCTGCAGGGGGGTTCTGAGCTCCATGATCTTTCCCACGTGGCATTCCTGCCTTCCCTGTCCTGGAATAACCTTTAATTAACTAATTAATGAATCCTCCATTCCAGTGTGTGCACAAGTAGAAAATCCCTTTTTCCACGGGTGTTCAAAGCTGTCCCTTCTTTTATTTTAGGAACGATTTTAATTATTTAACCCCATCAATTAAGCAGAGAGCAAAGCCCTGTTTAGTGTAGACGAGCACAAGGTGGATCAATAAAATTCCCAAAATTCCCACAGGAATATTCTGTGTATTCCCTGTTATCCATTTGGTGTCCAGCACTGCAGGATCTGGGGTTTCTCTTCCACATTTGTCAGATTTTTGGGAGATAATCCGGGAGCAAAAGGTTGATTGATGGACTTTAATGAATTGATTTTGTAGCAAGGAACAAATTTGTGGTCTCATGTAAGGGAAAAGAAATGGGAACTGGATTATGGAAATTATTTATGTGGCTTCCAGATGGAATGGGAATGGGACTAGGAATAGGAATAGGAATGGGAATCTCAATCAGGCCTCATTTCCAGGTTTCATTTTCACAGCTCCTCTGTTTAAATTCCTCAATTCCTCCAAAGTTCCCAAATGACTGGGATTTGCTGGCCTTTCACAGCACAGGAATTAAAACCTGGTTTTAAGCCCCTGTTAAAGCCCAGATTTGCTGCAGCTCAATCCCTTTGCCCTTGAAACTCAGACCTACTCAGAAGGTGCCCCTCTGCAGTTTCCCCAGATCCCATTTCCCAAAATCTTGGGAATGGGGCTTTTTTTCCCTTCTTGTCACCTGTTTGTGGGCTCTGCTGTTGAGGGCTGAATTCACCCACTGTCCCCCTTTTCCCTGGGAGCTCCCATCAATGCAGGCAGCTCGTGGTGATGCAGGAATCCCAAATTTCCCTTGGGGAAGCTCGCAGAGCCCTGGGGGTTGGTGCTGTCCTGCTCAGGGCTGGGATTCCCTTTCTCCAGCAGCCTCTGGAGGCAGCACCACCTTCCCAGTTCCTCCCAGTGGGATAACGAGGCGTGCCCAGTTCTCCCAGTTCCCGCTGGGGAGCTGCTCTGTGGCGCTCCCGGGCAGCCCCTCAGCGTTTCCCCGTGTGCTGTTCCCAGCTGTGAAGATCAAGAAGCCCATCAAGACCAAGTTCCGCATGCCCGTGTTCAACTGGGTGGCCCTGAAACCCAACCAGATCAACGGCACCGTGTTCAACGAGATCGACGACGAGCGCATCCTCGAGGTAGCCCCGCTGTCCCC